CTGACATAAGTCTGTCTACCTAACCGAACTAGTTGTTGCCCGCGGCTTCGCCCGCGTAGAATTTGGTAGTTGTAGTACTAATTAGTACTATGTTGCTGTATCGCTGCTATTCCAATGTCTTGACATAATCAGAATCAGAATCAACGAACTTAAAGAGTGTGCAGCGTCATAGAACAGTGCTTTCAAAAAATTGTTCTACAGTGCCATCTAGTGGCGAGTTACAGAAAATTTGGTAGCCTAAAAACCTTTTCTATGGAAAATTACTTATACATGTCAAGTTTCATCACTATCGATTGAGCGATGTAGAAGTCTATCCCTTACCAACCAACCAACCAAGAAACATTCATTTTTATATATTAGATACTTTTTCACAATGTAAAAGTTGTTTACGGAAAACCGTCACCTTCGTGTAACTTGATAAAGACGACACTTCGTAGAAAAAAAAATGCTAGATAACTTCAAGCTAAACCGACCACTATTGTTTGATGAAAGATATGTTATTCAATGAATTTTACCGCAATTAATGGAAAACAACGGAAAAAATTTGTGGTTACACGGGGAAAACCACCTCGATAAAATAGTGCCGTCATCAATATCGCTTTCAAGTGAAGAATTATTTTCTAATGTGAAAGGGTTTTAGGAGTAACTAATTTTTGGGAAAGAAAGTTTTTGGCTTTCTACTACTCCATCTTGATACAGAAAAATGGGGTTATCTTCCAAAGAATTCAAAAAGAAGTAACTGTATACATAGATGTGTGGATCATGCAAAGATTCCCACATTTTTCCGTATCAAGATGGAGTAGTAGAAAATTCAATGTTTATATGAAGGTAGCTGTTTCAGGAAGGCTTTTTCTTTCAGATTTGTGTCTGGAAGTTACTTCTTTGCATGATCTACACATTCATGTATACAGGTACTTCTTTTAGAATTGATTACTTCCTTCCTTTCTTTGGAAGATACCCACACTTTTCTGTATCAAAATGCAGTAGTAGAAAGCCAAAAACTTTCTTTCCCAAAAATTATTTTCTGAATTATTTGTTTATAAGAATATGTATGTTTGTATCTAGGAGGTATTTCACAAGAGAAATTAGTAATTTATTTAGTTCAACGTCAAGCACTTTTTGTAGATTTTTCTTCCAATTTATGGGAGTAGATTAAGTTTAATTTTAAACACCATATTTTCTTATACTGGTTAAAAGAGTACTGACAAAATATTAAAAAACATCTGAGAATGACAAATAACATCAAAATATTAACAGCTAGAAATCCACAACAATGAGGAAAGGCAAATACAAGTTAATCAGTTTTTATTATGGCTAATAAGACGTGCAAACAAATGCAGGTATTTGTTCATTATTTTTATGTTGCATGCTAAGGAAAATACAGTGCATTTCTTTAATGCCCCCCCCCCGCCCTCCTTTTATTTTTTGAACGGGTTAACTCAAAAAGTTTTGGGATACTGAAATTGATGCATGAATACTTTATTTTGTGAAATTTTGTGAAATTGACAGATTAAACTTTCCAGATGGCGACTGGGCGCTATCTGGGAAAAAAATTAAATGGAAAGGGGGGGGGGTATTGTGAAACATCATTTTGAAGCTCTTGACGAATACTTCACAAACCTAGAATATGAAGTCAATATCTTCACCTACTACAAAATGGCGGAACATTCAATAATTTCCTGAAGACA